TTTAATGCTCTGCTTTTGCCATTTAGAGATTTTAAATGTTTTAAAAGGGAAGCTCCATATTTTCATTTTGCATTGGGCCCTGTAGATGAAGTAGCTGGTTTTGGCCGTGGGAATGGCATTTCTAAAACTATGTACTAGAAAAAAAAAAATCTTTCAGAGTCGCTACTCCTTATCCTGCTTGTCTAGCTCGCTCGCGCGCGCACACTCTCTCTCTCTCTCTCTCCTGCTATGCTAAAGTCCCTCCGGGTCCACCAGGCAGCCCCTTGCTTCTGCATTATTGGCTCCTAGTGTTTCCTTCTCCTCATTTCCCCTACTAGACCTGGTTCATCTCTGTACATAGTTTATAATACTGATGAAATAAGACTGAACCGTGAAACCTGATGTGGCCATCTCAAGTACTACAGAATCATACCTTGTCTCCTCTCTCCCTTGAAAAAGTTGATACCTAGCAAAGTAGAGCCGTATTTGATCTTGGGATCATGTTTCTGTAATAGATGTGCAGAAAGATGGGATTGATTTGTGGGGGTTGGGGTTCACCCATCAACTTCAGAGTGTTCGTTCGTTCATTCATTCATTCATGCAACAAATTGTGATGAAGTATCTCATACATACCAGACTATATACTAAGTACTGAGTATATGGTATTGAATAGAGTATTTCATTTTTTCTCAATGAGTTAATAATATTCTGATTGGGGGAGATAGAATTAAAAAATACATCAATATATAATAGGTATGATGTGGAGTTCTAGAAAACGGTGCAAAGTAGGGTAAGAGACTAGAGGATGATAGGGGAATGTGTTTGTCCCTGTGCTGTTTAGATAGGGTGGAAGGCCTGTTTGAGGTGATGCTTAATCAGAGATCTGAATGAAGTGAGGTCTTGATCGATGTGAAATTCTGGGGGAAGGATTTGAAAAGTCCCTACGTGAGCACATACTTGTGATCATCCAAAAACTAGGAGGAGGCTGGTGTGGCTGGAGTAGAATGGGCAATGGAGAGAGAAGTAGGAGGTGGGGTCAGTGAATGAGGGCCTGATTACCCGGGGCCCTGTGGATCAAGGTGAGGACTTGGGCTTATACTCCCAATGAGAGGGGAAGCCACTGTAGGATTTCAGTTGGTCTGAATTTTAAAAGGCTCACTGTAGGGGCGCCTGGGTGGCTCAGTGGGTTAATCCTCTGCCTTCGGCTCAGGTCATGATCTCAGGGTCCTGGGATCGAGTCCCATCGGGCTCTCTGCTCAGCAGGGAGCCTGCTTCCGCTCCTCTCTCTCTGCCTACTTGTGAACTCTGTCAAATAAGTAAAATCCTAAAAAAAAAAAAAGATTATATTTAAAAAAGGCTCACTGTAGGGGGCGCCTGGCTGACACAATTGGTGATATATCCAAGTTTTGATCTGGGGGTTGTCAGTTCCAGCCCCACACTGGGTGTAGAGATTACTATAAAATAATAATTTAAAAAAAATTTTTTAAGGCTCACTCTAGCTGTTCTATTTATGCCAAAGATCCATTTCAGATGCTACTGAGAAGTGGACCAAGCTAAGACTTGAGAATTGACTGTTCAAGTAATATGATTCTTTTGGTTGACTTATATGCAAAAGACCACAAAAGCAGTCTTTTAATTTTGTAGCAGGTTGAGGATTGTTATAAGTAAAGGATCTACTTTGATCTTAGCTATGAGATCCTTTGTCTATTGAATTTTTGGCCAGTTGTCTGTTCTTTACTGTGTAAAGTGTTCTTCACTATGTAAAGGACACTATGTGTCCTTGCTTTGGAATATAACTCACTGCTTCGTTCTTTGAGCTCTGATTTTTCTTTTTTTTAATTTTTAAAAATTTATGTGTTTATTTTTAGATTTTATTTATTTATTTGACACAGAGAGAGAGTACAAGTAGAGGGAGAAGGAGGAGCAGACTTTCCGCTGAGCAGGGAGCCGGATGTGGGCCTCGATCCCAGGACTCTGGGAACGTGGCCTGAGCTGAAGGTAGACACTTAACCGACTGAGCCACCCAGGCACCCTTTTTTATTTTTTATTCCTTAAAGATTTTATTTATTTGCTTTGAGAGAGAGAGAATGAGAGGGAGAGGGAGAGAGAATCTGAAGCAATCTCTGCACTGAGCACAGAGACCAATGCAGGGCTCCATCCCACAGCCGTGAGATCCTGATCTGAGCTGAAACCAAGAGTCAGACACTTAACAATCTGAGTCCTCCAGGCACCCCTGAGCTCTGATTTTGAGTAAGCTGTGCCCTCCTGTTAACCACGATGGCCATCTGGGGCCGTTGTTGACCTTTCTTTCCTCGTAGTGACCTCGTGTGCTCTGCCGCCCTCCTCAGAGTTGGCACGTTTGTTCCCAGCAGTGACTGTTGCACTTTTAGTCTTTGTCTTGGAAGTGACAGATGCTGGAGAATTGTACTGGCAGAACTTCCCGTTCAGTTTAGAAGGGAGAAGTCAAGAAAACCAACACAACTGGTGTTTGCTCTAAGGTGACATCTGAGGAGGGTAGTGTTACTGCCGGAGGCAAGAAATACCAGGGCAGGAGCAGGGTAGGAAGGGAAAGGATGATTGGGACACCTTGAGGTGTCAGAGGGAGTATGTATGGAGCCCTCTAGCAGATGCGGAGAGGCGTGAGGGGTGCCGCTGGCATACTGTTCTGCATTAGACTCCTCAGTCCAGACGCATCCCACTGTCATAAATCCTCATTGGAAGGGACCTTACCCATCCACGTAGCCTCATCATCCCCAGCCAGTTTTCAGAATCCCTCCACAATAGCCGCTCTGAGGCAGTCTTTGAATCTCCATTCAGGCATTTCTTAGACAACCTTTTCTGTCCATTTATAATCCCCATAATTAGCCCTGATGAAAGCCCCAGGGATTGAGTGAGGTAATGACTTTTCAGGTGTCAGGTGTTAGGTATGAGCAAATTGTCGTTCTGTCCTTATGAGTCTTTTCCAAATAAGATGTTTCCTGCTCTGTCACTGTCTCCTCATGGGATGTTTGGAGCCAGTTCACTTGTTCTGTCACCCTGGAGGATGTATATTTTTTTATTAAAATCAATCTTAAAGTTTGACAGGTGGGATTAGGAGCCGGGCTCTGGGGCTGGCCTGCCCATTGCAGAGTAGGACAGCACCAGACTTGCTAGTTCCTCCAAGCATACTGTCTCACAGTGATTTTTCAGATACAAAGCATACATACCATACAGGTATAGCCAAGAGAAAAAGCATATGTTCACACAAAAACCTGCACATGAACATTTGTTGTAGCACGATTAATATTAGCCAAAGGTGGGAATAGTGCCAGTGCCCATTAAACAAAATATGGTATATCTATACAATGGAACAATAATGTCCTTGAAAACATTATGCTAAATGAAGGAAACCAGACACACAATACCACATATTATATGATTCCATTTATATGAAATGTGCAGAATAGGCAAATCTGTAAAGGCAGAAAGTAGATTAGTTGCTGCTGTCGGGCTAGATAGAGGGAGGGGGAAATGGGGAGTGCTTGCTAATGGGTACAGGGTTTCTTTCTGGGGTGATAAAAAATGTTCTGAAATTAGGTAGTGGTGATGGTTGCACATTGAGAATGTATTAAAAATCACTGAGTTGTAACTTTAAGGCAGTGAGTGTTATGGTGTGTGAATTGTATCTCAATAAAGCTGTCATAAAAAAGATGGGTATTACTTCCTATCTGAAGGTGAAGATGTTATGAGGATTTAAGGAAAAAACAGATACAAAGTGCTTAAAGCCCAATGCCTGGTATAGCAGCTTACTTAGTATGCTGAGGTAGTATGTTACTTGGTTAATGATTGTTACTGTTACTCTGCATGAAAGTAACACTGTTTAAATATCAGTAGGGGGTAACTTTTATTCACTGCTCTTCTTGTAGGATATTACCTATAACCCAGTATAGCGTCAATAAATACTTGTTGAATGGATGTTTGTTCATAAGCATGTTCAGCCACATTCCCCAATGTGGTTGTCTCTTGGCTGTGGTTTCCTTCAGCATTCCTGAATCAGCATCATTGGATCTGACTTTGAGATACTTGTCCAGTAGTAGTAATCCTGTGCTATGGAGCTCTTCACAGCCCATGTTTCAGTGTTGAAGTTGGAGTTAGGAGTGTAGATTCAGTCTGGGGAAGGAAAGGTTCTACCTTAAATTCACGGTGAAGGTGGGGACAGTGATTTTTGAGCTTTTCCCCCAGTAACATAATTGTGTTTTATGTCTTTACAAAAACATAACTGGCCTGTCAAGAATGTGGTTCTTAGTGGTTCATTCTCCTCTCCAGTTCTCTGGAGAGTAGAGGACTTCATCTGGTTTAAAAAAAAAAAAAAAAAAAAAATCAATTCCTAGAAATTTAACAGGTTTAAACTGATAATTTGTTCTGCTGAACCAACTCACAATTTCCACATACAAGAAATGGTTATTTTAAAATAAGATAGAAGCGTTTTTTTCTCTAATTTAAAAAAATTCATATCCTTTTATGAACTTGGCACTCCACTAATAATAATGAGTTGCCATTTATTTATATTGAGGTTCATGAAAAGAAGTAAACCTGCTTGTTATCCAGCATTCTTTCTAGAAGACCAGTGGGAATGTTTTCTTTTGGTCCCTAAGGAATGGTTGTGCTTCCCAGCGCTCCTTTAGTCTTCCATAAACCATGGACCATGTCATGGATCACATTTCCTTGTTGTCTGAGACTGTTAGGGAGCTCTGTGTCCACTTTGGGGCTCCCCTCTGGGAAGGTACCAGGACTTCTAGACTCCGTCTTTTGTTTCCTGCTTATATCTTCTCTGCTTCATTTATGCTCTTTTGTCTGTGTGTATCTTCAAAAACCACTTTTATAATCCTTTGGGAGACAAATCGGAGACAGGGCTGCTATTACTGAAACTAGTATTTTAAAAATTACCTCCAGAGCTGCATTCTCACAGGGAAGAATGGGAGAGGAGGCAAAACTGTCAGAAAGGAGTCCGTAAGCTTTTTTTTTTTTTTTTTTTTTGCTAGAAGTTGGTGATATGGCAAAGCAGTCCATAGAGAAGGGTCTTTTGGTTCCCGATCATGTGATCACACGCCTCATGATGTCGGAGCTGGAGAGTAGACGCGGCCAGCACTGGCTACTAGACGGTGAGTTGAGCCCGCGGGTAAGCTGGACCTCTGCGGATAGCGGGTTATGCACACTCCCTTAACTTCTTAAGGGAGCGCTGCAAATACTTTTTCTTCTCAACTTGCAGTCACTTACTTAAGCATCTTCCAATCTGGCGACATGCTAGAATCCCACTGTGGTGAAGCTGATGTGCTTCTGTGTCTCCAGACCGCCATCCCTAGAGCCACTGACCGGGAAGCAAACCATATACCGAATTCCCATCATTGTTCCAGTTTCAGTGGTGCTGGTTGTTTCCGTCACTAAGTTGTCATAAGTATAACTCATCTTAAATCCCAGGTTCCCATGTTCGTAATAGGCCGCACAAATTAAAACCACGAGTTACCATTTTTTATTCGTCAGGTTAACAGAGATAGAAGATTTGAAAGTCTTTTATTGAGTGTGTAGGAAATAAATACTTTGAGAGTATGTAACGGGCAACCGTTGGAGGGCAGTTGAGCAGTCTTTGTACTTCCTGACTGAGCAGTTCCGTGCCATCTTTCTTCCTAAAGATGTATCATCAGAGTTGTGTATTTTCAGCATTATTTGTAAACAGCAAGACACTGGTAACAACCTAAGTATCCATCATAGGGATGCCTCAAACGTTGGTATGTCCGTTAACCAAATAATGTATACCTCTTCGTGGGCATGGATAGACCTGTAAGGTGCTGTCACGTGAAGACGGCTAGCTGCGGGAGAGTGTATGTCATGTCCTCTGTTTATGTAAACACGGGAGGATGGTATGATATTATTGTATACACAGATAAATGCATGCATAAGCAATCTTGCAAGCATATAAAAAATACCTCATATATCCTTTGATACTGTTTGATTTTTTTTAAAAAAACAGTAATACCTGGACCTGATTTAAAGACTCCGTTTAGTGGTTCCTAAACTTTTTAGGCGTGTGGGCCCCTAGATGACAGCTGTGATATTTCCCCTAGGAGAGGCGTGCAGACATTCACACATAACATATTTCACAGTTTTATTCTTCATGAAGCTGAAATTAAGAATCTTCTACTTTAAGTTGGCCCATTATTAAAGGAGAAAAAAAATGGACTGGATGGATTATTGGTCTTGTTCTTAAATAGCAAGATTCCTTGATATGATGAAAATAGAAACTTGATGAACACGCTATTTCCTAGGAGCACAGAATGGCAGATAGATTTATCTGTAAGAATCTTCTTTCCATTGCAGAGCAGTTGTTTTTAGTTCCCACAAGGCACTCAATTCTATCTTAATTTGGTGAAACTGAAGCTTCAGCAAGTTGGGACAGGTGAAACCTTGGCGTTTGCCAGCCCCAGGGAAGCCAGAGGCATTGTCCTGCAGTTAAACTGATTGCCTCTGTTTCTCTTAAACTCTGGAGCCATGAATGTTCACAATGACTAAAATGGTAGGGGGTAGGTTCTTTATTCTATATCAGTGTTTCTCAAAGTATGTAGTGCACAGTGTTATTAATTTCTGGATAAGAAAACAGACCTTGTGTCAAGTTGAATATTAAAAATGGCTAGCATTTATTGAGTATTTGCTGTGTGCAGGCATTGTTCTGAACATCTGATACTTAATTGTTTATTCAGTCCCTACAATAACCATATGAAGTATATACCATTAATCCCCATTTCATAGATGAGAAAACAGAAGCTTTAGGTAACTGCCCAAAGGTAGTAAGTGTCAAAGTTAGACACGTTTTCTTTACTTAACTGTAATACAGTGCTCTTTAGCTCTTCACAGAGGGAGACATCATGAGGCATCTTCTGCATTGATTTGATCTTAGAATCCACCCCCTTATTCCCAACCCCCACTGAGACCCTGCAGGATTTGCTCTGTGGAGCGTTCTTTGTGAAAAGTGTTTTTTAACATATATTCCTCACTTTGTAGGTATTCTGAAAAGTTGACTATAACATGGATCGTATCTTTCTGTAATTCGAATTTATTTTTTTTTAAAGATTTTATTTATTTATTTGACAGAGAGAGAGCGATCACAAGTAGGCGGAGAGGCAGGCAGAGAGAGGGTTGGAAGCAGGCTCCCTGCTGAGCACAGAGCCTGATGCGGGGCTCAATCCCAGGACCCTGAGACCATGACCTGAGCCGAAGGCAGATGCTTAACCCACTGAGCCACCCAGGCACCCCTAGAATTTGGATTTAGATGTTTGGAACTTTGTTCTCATGCGACTGGAGGGAACCAGAAGAGAAAAGCTATTATGGCCTATGGAGGGTATGCTCTTAGTCATTAAGTCAGTAATGAATGAAGCTCCTGTTCCGTGTCAGAAACTGTTAGGTGCTATTGATACAATATGGATACATTGCTAGGACACTGTCCCCATTCCTCAAGGGGCTTCTATCAGGTGTGTAAAATAGTTACTGACAGCATAATGGAAGCATATGTATGTGGTACTCTGCAGACACAGAGAAGAAAATTCTATTCTAGCAGTGTGGGGAGGGATTGGAACAACTTTATGGAAGAGGAGAAGGAGTAGAGGTTCCACAGGTTGATGAATAGGGTTGGAGGGCAGATACTCTCTGCCGAGGGGCAGGTGGACTGGGGAAGAGAAGGATTACGTAGCTTAGTATTTTCCTGGGCCTGTAAGCAGAGGCTGGCAGGGTTGAGAAGTCCCTGAGTGGATGGTGTTTGATTCCGTACAAAGATGTTAGAACTGGAAACTGTTGAAACTTCGAGAAGTTGTTGAGAGTTGGTGAGATTTGTGTTTCAGAAAGACTGTTCTGTTAGCCTAGAGGAGGGAGTAGGTGCTGGGACAGGGAGGAGCTGGAGACTAGAAGCCAAGTAAGAGACTTTTGGAATATTTGGACCAAGGGCAGGTTGAAAGCCTGGATTTGAGCAATGGCAGTGGGATGGAAAGGAAAGAATGGATTGAAGGGGAAGAACTGACAGGAGCTCTAATGATTGAGGTTAGCTGCTGCAGCCCTGGTGTTTTCTTTTATTGCCTTCTGATCTTTGAGCTTTTTGTGTCTTTCTTTCTTTCTTTCTTTTTTTTTTTTTTTGTAAGATTTTATTTATTTATTTGACAGGCAGAGATCACAAGTAGGCAGGCAGAGAGAGAGAGAGAGAGAGAGAGAGGAGGAAGCAGGCTCCCTACTGAGCAGAGAGCCCAATGTGGGGCTCAATCCCAGGACCCTGAGATCATGACCTGAGCCGAAGGCAGAGGCTTTAACCCACTGAGCCACCCAGGTGCCCCTTTTTGTGTCTTTCTTGGCTGTCGTCATCTTCCCTGCGCTTCTCCAGGCCGAGTTAAATTCTCTACGTGCTACACGTGGACTCCCACAAGGTAGTCCTACAATACTCGTTCTGTAGGGACCTGCCAGGATGCATGAGCTTTGATGCTGCCACATCTTGACTGGTTTAAATTCTTTCATTGTGAAGCTTGTCACCTTGTGAAGCAGACTTGGTATAAACAGACAAATCTGTTTTAAAAAAGGATCATCTATGTGAAACTTCTTTGGCAAGGCGGTTAGTGTCTCATCACCATGAACCCCAGTTGGGTGGCAGACTGCCCACTTGAGTCCCATCTCTGCCATTTACTGCTGATTGGTGACCTTGGGCAAATTCTCTTACCTCTGTGGGCATGTTATTCCTCATTCTCTAACCAGCGTTAGGAAAGGGTCTGTAAGGATGACGTCAGTGAATATAATGTAATGTCCTTAGAAGAATGCTTGCCATAAAATAAGAGCTCTATAGACAGGATATTTTTTTTATTATTATTTGTTCCACTTGATATACAGGTCCCGAATATTTTTTTTTTGTAACTACATGAAGTGTCAAGTTCAGAAATAGTTTAAAAAAATACTCTGTGTGAAGTTGGAAGTCAGTGTCAGTTACGGAATGCTCCCCATGCTCTGCTTTTGCCGTAACTTTCCTTCTCAGGGCGAAGAAGCGAAGTTCCTTTACATCACAGACCTGTTTTTAGCAAAGTGCGTCAGTATCCTTGCTGATTTCGTTTGTATCTTTCTCCTTGAGGACCCATCTGGTCACTTTTTTCAGTTGTGATTTTCCTTTAAAGCTCTGGAATAAATCCACTTGGCAAAGTGAGGAGTGTTAGGAATGCCTCGTTCTGTGTTCAGCCTTCAACTCCTTATGTTACAGGCCACATGCTCCACAGAGGACGTGCCTGTTGAGTGTGCTAAAGGTGATTGAATGTGAAAAGGTCAAGAAAGGAATTCTGGATGACAGATGACTCATCATCTTGGTCCATATGTCTGTAGAGAGGCATCTGCAAATGGTGGGTGGAAACAAATAGAGTGGATGCAAGCCAAGGGAAGGCTGGAGGGTGGGGTGGGTGGATAGGGTGGCTGAGTGCTCTGTGGCTTGGTCAGCTATGGCCTTGCTAAAAATAGTTCCGTACTACCTTACCTTTGCAGTGTACCTTCCATCTAGGGAAGAAGCACTGCTTTATGTGTCTATACACACACACACACACACACACACACACACACACACACACACGTAGTGGGTGTGTGTGTGTGTGTGTATGGGTTTTTTCTCCTTTTTTTCCTCTTTCCCCCTTTTATTTTTATTTTTTTTGTAATTTTTTTATTTTTTAAATTTTTTTTCAGTGTACCAGAATTCATTGTTTATGTACCACACCCAGTGCTCCATGCAATACGTGCCCTCCACAATACCCACTACCAAGCTCACCCAACCTCCCACCTCCCGCCCCTTCAAAACCCTCAGGTTGTTTTTCAGAGTCCATGGTCTCTCATGGTTCATCTCCCCCTCCAATTTCCCCCAACTCCCTTCTCCTCTTCATCTCCCCATGTCCTCTGTGTTATTTCTTATGCTCCACAAATAAGTGAAACCATATGATGATTGACTCTCTCTTCTTGACTTCTTTCACTCAGCATAATCTCTTCCAGTCCCGTCCATATTGATACAGAAGTTGGGTATTCATCCTTTCTGATGGAGGCGTAATACTCCATAGTGTATATGGACCACATCTTCCTTATCCATTCGTCCGTTGAAGGGCATCTT